GATAAACATATGCGCGATGTTAATCATTGAATTATTATGTTTATTCTTGTGCTACAATGGAGTGCCACTCAGCGTCAATGCTGAGCGGATAGTGTTGTTTTCCTTTTTGCTGTCCGTAGGTGATCAGACAGATGAACCTAGAGCCGATCCCAGAGGGCATTGAGGAGGAGATGTACGATGGCGTGGCTGTCTCTTTAATCTGTTGATTATGCTTTATTTAATTAACTTTAATGCTTATTACGTTTTCGGGCAAGATCCCAAGTTGTTTGACTTTAAAAAGGCTTCCGCATTATTTTAAATTACTCCGATGGATTTTTATATGTATTGAAAGAACGTTTGTTTAAAATTGTTTTGAAAATGTTGCAAATTCGGATACCAATCCAGTGGCACACCGGTCCGCTGTCTCACGGGTTTGGGTCATGCGGGTTGGGGTGTTACAAGCATAAGCACGATAAAATCGAAAGCATCATCCAAGTCCTTAAAAACCATGCCTACCTTTGGAATGTAATTATCAGGGCATTGAGGGACCCAATGACGTTCGACGTAAGAACTGCTGCCTTCATTTGGCACTTCCTGATACTTTGTGGGGGTAGCTGTATGAATAAAAGTGAATAATTCAGCACTAATTTACTAATACAGCCGCAACGTGAAGACATGATATTGTAACAACATACGTAGTAGGAGCATAGTTTGTGCATTTGATTTGGGGTATAAAAATGGATAAAAGTGCACTGTGTATGCTAGATATTGCAATTCAAGCCAAGCAAAATTACAAAAATTTGAGGATGACGCCTAAATATTTCATTTTAGGAATGCATTAAAATCTCAGCATAGATGTGGAGTTTTAAATTAGTTTTAAAAAAAAACGGTTTCAGGATATCATTGCACGAAGCATGACCTCAACGGGTCATTCATATGTGGAAGGAGACTTACACTCGAGTGGAGCAATATAACGGTGAGTGGCACATAACTGTTTTAATATGAAGCAATGTATTGATAACTTTAGTAGTGAGACTGGGGAAAGGAATGGCTAAATAATTGGTGTGAATTGCTTCTTTCTTCTGGGACATGTGAGCTAGGATGATTATAGTGCATAAATTTGATAGGAAAATGCACTACTATGTTCTGCGTATGCATTAATTGGTGAAATGCATCATTCAGAATTGGGATTAGTACTTTGTTCTTAATCCCAGAGTTTCGAAATTCACACAATTACTAAATTTTCCATCACACATATACTAAATTGTTTCCAAAAAAAGAGATGATAATTAACAGATACGAAAAATTACAAAATAACAGGGTTGAATTTAAAGGGTACCTGGTTGTGAGTGAAATTCCATAGGTTAAATAAAGGGGGCACGTCGGTAGTTCCTTTCACGGAGGCTATTATGCTGAAGGGGGGAGGACGCAGACGTATATGCGGAAGAATTAAAGAGGAATCCATGCCAAGTAATGTCTTCCGGTAACTGAAAGCGTCGTAACCGGGGCTGAAGGTGCGCAGGGACGTGGGCTTAATTCACGGAGAAGAAGGTGGAACGATAATGCCCAGAGTGGTAAAGTTCTTTTTTACCCTTGCTACGGTTTAGATGGGAAATGGCAGATAAAGTGGATCCAACGGTTGATATTTATTCTTATTTCTTTCATTAGATCTTTTTCTTATTTGATCCAAAACCTATATATATATATATATATATATATATATATATATATATATATATATATATATATATATATAAAATATATATATATATATTTATTTATTTTATATATATATATATATATATATATATATAATATTAATATATATATATATAATATATATATATATATATATATATATATATATATATATGGATGGCTCTAGAGAGAAGGCAGAGGATTCCGGCCACCCTTCCGGTCACCTCGCCGGCGAAGAAAAAAGGGAAGCAAAGCATCAATCAGGAACAAGCTTGGATTATCCCAACGAAGTTATTTTTAGAGTTATTTCAACATAATAAATCCACAGCCATTGGCCTTGTTGAAGGTTTCTACAAATCCTTCCCTTCAGTTAGCTTTAATGAAGAAGATGAAAGCAATCTACAAAAATTCATGCACTACTCGGCAGTTGGTAGATTCCAGAAGGAGGTCCACCTATCTTTGGTTAAAAACATGCTTATCAAACTCAATTTTGGGGCATTCAAAATCAAAAGAATCAATACGTTTGATGTTCTGTTTACATTCAAAGAAGAAAAAGACTACATTCGATTCATCCTGAAGCGCATTTGGAACATTCAGAACTCGTCTTTCCATGTCTTCAAATGGATAAGTGATTACAAATCAAATGAAGAATCTGCTGTTTTTCCAGTCTGGGTCACCTTTGAGCATCTCCCTTTGCACCTTATTCAGTATCAAGCTTTATACACCTTAGCTAGCCGTCTTGGTAAACCTTTGATGATGGATGAATACACTGCTAACAGAGATCGAAGGGATACTGCTCGTGTGTGCTTGGAGTTGGACCTTTCCCAGCCACCTCCACCTATAATACACATACGTATGGGAGGTAAGGATATCTTTGTGGATTGCACTTATGAGAACAGGCCATGCTACTGCACCACCTGTAAAAAGATTGGACACTCTTCAACAAGGCACACCACTGCCCAGCCCACCGGAAAAGTTCCCTCCGGCAAGGGTAAGGAGGGCATCCCTGATTCAAATGTCAACAAATGGATAAAAGTCACAAGCAAGAAGCCAAAAGGTACAAGTCATGTTGCAGCTAAATCAGCTCATAATGTCACAAAATCAGGGCCCACTATCTATGAATGGAAAAAGAAAGGTACAGCTCATCTCAATTCTTTTTCCCTCTTGGATATGCTTGATCTCAGTTCTAATCTCGACACCAACTTAAGCCCAGCCCAAAATACCTTTTCAAATTCTT